CTCTCTCTTTTCTGGAAGTTAATAGTGGAAGGAGCGGGGCGCGCCTATCATTATTTTCATCCCATTGGCCAGGAGTGTTTTTTTAGGCAGAGTTGATAACAGCGATGTGTCAAGCATAGTGCGTCCTGTTTTGTTCCCATAGAGTGGGGCTCATTTATCAACATCGGAAAGTAGAAAGGCGAGTGACAGCACAGGGGCTCGAACTCGGGGCGTCTTGGTTCTGAGTTCGACGTTCTGCTGACGGAGTAGCGCCGGTCTGAAGGAATGTGTAATAATTTTTTTCCAGTGGACTTCGTGGTTAAGGCAAAGTTTATCGTCTTCCGAATCATCAGGTCCTTCCGGAGTTCGAAGTCGACTTCCTTACTTACTGTACCACCACGCCACATGTGTTTTGTAAGCATAGTGACAGTTCATTATCAGATGATATTCCTGGCCTTTCGTTAATATTATTTTTAATCCTTTAGTCGTTGGCACATTCAGCTGCGTTTTAAAGTATACCGTGAAGGACACAGAAGCGGATTCTGGCACCGGTTATCCAGACGAGTTCGTGGTAAGTTTCACCCATGTTTACTGTTTAATTACTATGCTTATTGTGGCTTTAATATAAATTACTTCGATATGATAAAATTACTCAAGGTTAGAGGTAAGTAATAATTGATGATTGCTGTGTGCCATTTTTATTGTTGCCATTTCTATTTCGTATTATCTATTTTAATTTAAATTTCAAATGATTTACTTCAGACGTTGTTCAACGTCGCTGATTCAACGTTTTCAAAATAGCTTTGTCAGAGGAGCACTAAAACTGGCAGTTGAGCTAGATCGTGAATTTCATTCTTGATTTTTTTCCTTGTGAGGTCGGTGTACACTGTTATCTGACTGGTTGTATTCTTTCTTTCTTTCACTGTGTTTCAAAACTACTTCTCCGTATAGTTACGATTTTGCAAATTTTGTGTACCTTCCTGCTTATGTACTGATGCTAAGTTGTGAGTACTATGCGGTTCCTTGTTTGAAATTGCGTTACCCGTACGATATAGGAAGGAAATCGAAGTCCTATTCTGCTTAGTTTTGCAGCACGACATAACCGAGACAACCATATAATCCTTCTTGAGCAACAGTTGGTGACAGTGACGTAAAATTTTTGAGACTACTGATTACTGCGTTATTTAGATTAATTTGTGCTCGCCTGTCTGCAATATAAAAGATCTGTGACCTTCTTTGTTGTCAACCCTGTTTGTAAAGTTGATCCTGTCGTTTTGCGAAACGCTGTGGTAACAGGTTTTATTTCA